GACCATTAAAAATTGCAACTCACCGTACATCACAATAAGCGGATCAAAGTTGCGATAACACGGACAGACAGGCGGACACCCGCGGGGAAACCGGGGTGAAAGGCAGCGCCTTTCAAACTGTGAACCATAATAATTTTGAAAAATATTGTGGAAACTAAATAACAATAGATTATAGTGATTTTTTTTTACATAGATTAAAGTTTCTAATTTGAAAAGGTGACAAACAAACGACCTGATATTAGGTAAAATCATCGCTCTTTTTTCATTGTATATAAAAAAAGGAACTCATTAATGTAACAAGGATAATGCATCAAAAAAAGATATAAACTGTGCAAAAAAGAGTACGGACCGAGAGTCTGTAGTTGATTTAAAAAAAAATCATGTCAGTCTGTCAGATTCAACTGTAAATGTATGCTAAGATTATAATGCGAGAGTTTAGATGGATGAATGGATGTTTGTTACTGATATTGCGCTGAAATTTGGAACGTAAGACATAGTTTGAAAGTGCATATAGTCTACTAATTAAGTTATTGTTTTAATTCCGCCCGGACGGGGTCGCGAGGGGCAGCTAGTTAATACTTTTTTTTTAATTTGTACCTGATCGAAGTATTATTATCTAAACTATCTATACTATTATAATAAAGCGTAAACACACACTTCTTTGTTGCCTAAGATGTCAGCTATCACAGCATATTTTTGAATAGTTCTTTTTTTAATAAAAAGCCCTATACTTACGTCACGCTGTAGGCTATATATTTTCACGCCATTAAACTTAGGAGGTAAATATTTTGAATAAAAATCCTGGGAAAGAGACCATAAGTTGCTGCCAACATCAAGTTGCCAAGGTTTGTAATGTCATGTCATTTTGACATTTGCTATTGTTAATTTCACAACTGTAAACAATAAAATTAAATTTTCATGATTTCATGCGGATGAAGTCGCACGGGAACAGCTAGTACAGTTATAAATTATTTTAGATACAATATATGGAGAAGATAAAATATTTTTATTATTGCGACAGTTTGAGAAACTATATTTAGTGACTCATTTTATACTATTGACAGGTTAATTGAGTAAGTATACTCATAATATTTTGTGCAATTTCAAACTGTTTAAGTTGTCAGTTTGATAATCTTTGTTTTAACGGAAAATAAAAACATCAACATATTTTCATGAGTCTACATTTCTAATAAAAAATTGTATTTTTTTCAAATGTCGAAAATGTTACGTAATTTGACGTAAAATTCATTAAACAATATTTGAAATAAAAATAAATACATCAAAGGAAAATTTCATATTTGATTAATCTATTTTTTATTATTTTGCACAATTAATAATTTGTTACTTGTAAATAAAACTAACAAGATGTTTGTCAGAAAAGATATAAACCAAAACAATATACTTAGATGCTGCATCATAATTGCGTTTCTCCATCAAAGGCATTCAACTATAGAATGCCAATCAAAAACCGTTTACATGTTCTTACATTAGATGCAAATGCTTATGAGAAATTGAAATTAAAATAAGAACGAGCGAAGGCACAAAGAGGTTCGGTCGTCAACACCGATGCAATCTGCCGATCGATTGGACGGCGCAGATAAAAACGAGTCGCCGTATTGCAACTCAGCGATGTTATAATTAATTCACAGCATTATTGTGCAAGCCGGTCGTGATATTAAAGTACATTTTACTTGCCCGGCCTGCGCAAATCGCTGAAGCAATTCTCTACTACGGGTGGTCTTCGAGCGGGTCTTTTGTCGATTCATTTTTAAAGGATACAAGACTTAATTAAAAGGTTTACTTCGATATCGTTTTATTAACTTCTAGACCTATCTTCAATTTCCAAAAACGAGATTAGAAAGTCTTTGACAGATTTAAATCTATATACAAATAATAAAATTGGAGTGTCTGTAATATCAAAAGAAAAATTCCAGATCGGGAAGATGATGTATTTGCATTGTTGATAACGAAAATCACATTTATTTTTTTTTGTCTATCTGTCTCTGTCTAATCTTTGAAACGGCTGGGCAGATTTTGACGGGACTTTGACTGGAAGGTAGCTGACATGAATAGGCATATTATAGGCTACTTTTTTATCTTAATATTGAGTGGACGAAGTCGCCGGCAACAGCTTTTCTTTTTGACATAGTCCTTATTCTATTCTTGCTGGTATTGAGACAAATTGGAACTAATTTAAAATAGATTATTTTTATCTTCCACTATCCGTCTACCATCCATCGTAGCATCATGCATTAGCAATTCATTTTGATTTATCAACACATCACTTAATACCCTTTGAGGAGGCCTGTCGCTGCCCTTAAATCGATTCGAGCCCTTTTTGTGTCGCATTATACCGATTATCAACACATTTAGATCTGCCACATCCGCCGTCCATCGAGAGGGCAACGCTATAGTTGCGACGTACGTAAATAAAACGGAATCCGTCTTTGACGGACTCATTTATGATTCATTGCTTCTACATTACATTACAAAGCTTTTAAACACGTGACATCTGTCATACAATGCTTTTAGAGAGCACTAATTTATAAGAGTATTCCGTCTTAGTTTAACGTTTAGCGATATTCTGCGCTAGATACCAGATTGTACAATCTAGCAATCTTCTTTTTAGGATAATTTATCACTGTAAATAGTTGTTTTATGATTATCCAAATTTTTGCAAAACATTTACTTTTAAACAGATAGATTTGAAATGTTTGCTTGCACTATATTTATTAAGACTCCATTTGTACAACTAGATGAGCTGATAATACCAACAATGGTAAGAAAATCCAATTGGAATTTGGCATTCTAAATACCATCTAATTCTCCACATTACTGACATTCTAAATGGATGACCAGAATAATATATCTAGGAATGAGAACGTGTCGGCCGGTGACAGTAAATATTATGATTTCACCCAAGATCTTGCATCTCTTACGTCAATGTGACGTCTGTTTCATTATACAGCTTTCAGTATATTTTCACCTAATCTTTGCAGATTACTGCACATCGACCTTAAGACAAACTAAGAAGGGCTAGAATCGCTTGTGATACAATCATACACCGGGATTACACTATTTTGATATCGGTGCCGACTTTATAAATTATGTCATGGTATGTCCGGTCATCTCTGATCTCTTTGTCAGTCTAAACTACATTATATTCTTCGAGTCTGAGGTTTTTGATGGATGCTCTAACCTAATCCACACTTTCATCTCGACTCTAAAGCGTTTTGTTACCGCCGTGACAATGGTTCGTGGAAAATTTATAGTTGCACCGCACCATGAGAATTAATCATCGATTATGAAATATGTATGCGGTGCGATGCGGATGCTGCTTCGGATTTATCCGGCTGTGTAGATAGCCAAGGACGTTATGACAGACGGTCAAAGTTTTCCCCGGATATTTATACCCAACGCCATCTTTATCGATTGGATATCGGCGCGTACGCTACGACACCTAACTCTAAATCACGCCCAGTCATTTCTATTGGTGAAAATATTATTCGCCCGTTGTTAAATGGTATCGTTCAATATTTTCCGATGTCTAATGCTCGTCGCGTCGTCTTATTTATGACAGGAGCACTCACCTGCGGCCGGGACGCGATAAATTTAACAACGGCCGGTCACCTCTATCAAAAACCGCATTTTTATGTCAACGCGTACATTCATAACGCTATCAAAGCTGGAAACGCCTAAACGACGGTCGACTGTGAAATATAAACAGCGACGGCTAGGCCATCTCCGCGCCGCTATTAAATAAAAGTCTTTTTACATTAGATAAATCGCGCGCGTTATTCGGGACCATCTGTCCCTTGCCGATTACAGCCATACATTATGCCCGGTTTGTTGTTTTTAATAAAAAGTTTAATCCGTTCGGTTATGACGGCAATTTGTCTGTCGGATGGAAAAACTTGGTCGATTACCGGTGGCGGTGGCAGCGCGTATGTGTAAGGGGCACCTATTACGACTCGATGTCTTTTTATTCGCGCATTTTTGTCATGTTTATTTATGCTTTCGCTTTTGTCTTCCATTAGCGCTTCGTTTTTATCTGCGCCTTCGATAATCCACTTAAGAAATTTTTCGGCTTAAGAGGGGCAATTGTGCGGCAATTGCTTTTTTCTTTTAATTTCCGAGGTATTTTGTCATAATTTACGTTAACGTTCTTTAGTACGGAAACAGGTCTCACCGAGTTGTATCGATTTCATCACATTATAAGGCGGGACTCCGTACAACCATTAACGATTCAATACTGTCTTAATGAAGAGCTGATAAAATGTAAATTGTGGCATTCGTCACGACCGCTGGGCAATTAATCGGTGCTTCTTTTACGTTTTGTGAGCGCGGGTTTATAGGCGTTAAGATTTAGTGACCGTCCTACCGCTTGATTTGTGCACATATTTTAACTCGCTCTTTGTCACAGCCGGCTGTTTGATACTGCAATATATCGTCAATAACAAATTTTGCGTGGAGAGATTTCTCTACAAGACTGATTGTTGGAAGTAACGCAACATTTAAACCGGTTGTTTTTTTACTTTGGTATATTTTTTTATATTATCCTCCTTGCTTTATATTACTTCTAACGGCATTGCGTGTTAATATTTTTTATTAATATGCAAACTTATTATACATGTAACGGTATTTGGCTTGATTATAAATTAGTTTATTTCTTAATTATGATGTATATTGTTGTTTCGATAAATCAACAAACAAATTAATACTGGATTTGACTAAATTCTACACTGTTTACAATATTACCCACATTATCGTCTAAAAACAGAAGAATGTGGATATTACTGAGTTTTAATTAAATTAAAATAATTACTGATTTACGTTTACTAAGAACATTCTAGAACTGTCTCGAACGTTCTCACTAAAACAACGACCTCTTCACTTAAATGTCAAACTAGAACTGTCATCCAAATATACCTACGATTTAATTCTTATTGTCTCGTCTATTAATATTGAATATTTGTACTAACATAAATTATTTGTTATAGAACATGGGAAATATGTCAGCGGAGATGGAGCTGCAGAGATTGCAGCAAGAACACCTGCGACGTCAGGAGATGGTCCGGCGCAACCAGCATAGCAACCAGCACAACCTGTATGCAGGACATCCTCTAGGCCTGTTGCCGCTGTTAGAGCAGATGAGACCGCAGCCGCCGCAAGCGCCACCTAACGTAAGTACTAGAGTAGATGAAAATTCTGGGTATCTTATGTTAACGTTTTTGTGGTACAGTTTTGATGACCAAATGTCATTTGAATCATAGTAGTATAAGACTTTCTTATAGTTAGATAGCGTTAGTAACAAAGAGATTAAAAAGATATATAGAGGAATTTTTCAACAAGTCCTAATTGAATGTGAAAATAAATCCCCAATATTTAAATGTCTATGTTTTATTTTGTGACTGTTTAGTTTGTTTTTAAATTTTCTCAAATGTTTTATAACATGACAATACAAGAACATGAAGTGGCGTACTTAACTTGACAACTAACATAGTGCCTTTCAAAGAAATTACAATACAAAATTTTGTTCACTATGTCTATTGTGTCTTAAATGGTAGTTAGTTAGCTAGTAATTGTTACTAACCATTTTAAACAAAGATTTAACAATTATTTATAGACTTAAGTGATTTATCTATACTATAATAAAGCGTAAACACACATTTCTTTGTTGCCTAATATGACAGCAATTACAGCATATTTTTGAATAATTCTGTTTTTAATAAAAAGCCCTACTTATATCACGTTTAGGCTATATATTTTCACGCCATTAAACTTAGGGGGTAAATATTTTGGATATAAACCCTAAAGTGGGAAAGAGACCAAAAGTTGCTGCCAACATCAAGAAAGTAAGATTGCCAAGGTTTGTCAGCGTCATGTCATTTTGACATTTGCTATTGATAATTTGACAAATGTAAACAATAAAATAAAATTTTCATAATTTCATTCGGACGAAGTTGCGGGCAACAGCTAGTTTCGGATGAATTTCATTGTTAAATCAGAGTGGAACGATCACCTCAATGTAACTGTTACCGTTCCAAAAAAAAAGTTGTTCAACAACAACAAATAAATAATATACATTAATTACTTTCGTTCGAGTAAAAACGAGTTTTTGAAAGTTGAAGCGCCGAATGAACGAGATATAAACACAAAATGTATTATATCGTAGTAATTGTGCAATTATATGTCGAAAATAATCAGTGAACGTGTACATTTGGAGTCGAAAAATCGTAATCATGAATGAATAAGATCGGCCATACAAATTCGGACGTAATAAAAAGATAATTGTATGACATTTTGATAAAAAATATGCATATAGAACCCAACTTAATTAGTTACCAAATCAGGGTTTGTTTGAAACAAAAACTTTTGGAGGCAAATATTAAAAATTAGATCAACCAGTAATCAAATGCAATTCTTTGACTTCTCTCAATATATAATTTAACCATAGGATTGAATAAAAAGGAAAAAAATATTAAATTCCATGTAATTTCGTTTTTTTCGCATGTCGTCGTATGAGTCGATGCCACTGAATTAAGTAATTAGCCCCTCCCCTTAATATTTTTTTTTAATTTATATAGCCAATGTCATTCACAGATAAATTACATTTCTAATGGTGAAAGAATTTCTGAAATCGGCCCAGTAGTTTTTACGTGAATCAAATACATACAAAAATGCAAATCTTTTCTTTTTATAATATTAAAAGTACTTTAAAATTAACACACATTTCGAATATTAAATCAAACAAAAAAAAATTATGTAATCCTATTTCGATACTCAAATATGAATGTTCCACCAAAGTTATAATTACACGACAAAAACCAGCGTTAGTTTATAATTAGAAGCACTGGATGGTCCTAGATCTTTCCTCATACAAATTCTGCTTTTAATCTCTTGTATTTGATGGCTGCGTTTGTTCTGTAATTCTTTTAATTACATTAATTCGTCATTAATTTTCACTTATGTTATTACTTCAGTTTCGCTAATTTTCGCTATATTTCAGAGCTTCTATATTATGTTATTCAATTCTAAAGGTATATAGGAGATAAGCAGATTATCACAATAGTTTCTATGTATAATCAACTAGCTTTCGCCCGCGACTTCGTCTGCGTGAAAAAAAAAATACAACAAAAATTAGCTTTTGTGTTCGTCCGACTATCCTTTATATTTATGATAAATTTCCTCGTGTTCCAGTTCAGAAGTTTAGGCTAAAAACTCTAACAATTATCCATCCAACGTTTAGTATTCGAGTTTTCAACCGGACTTACCACTCAACGTGTATTGTGAGAATAGGAAAGGCATGTGTCAGATCAAACTGAAAACTGTTTGATCTCATATAAATTATATTTGATATTACTAAAGGAAGTCGGTCTAACAGTGTTTACATATTAAATGTCTATATCGTTTCCGGAACATTATCCCAGAAGTGTTAAAGTAACCACTTTTATTTCGCACAACTTAACTAATATTAATAACAGATTAAAAATTTTTTAAAAATATATATATAATTTTACAAACAGAAAATGTAAGCTTCCTTGATAACGAAGTGCGAACAAGCCCATGTGACGTCTATTGCGATGCGTATCAAAACATCAAAGACAAATTCTCTTTCAGAAAAGAACTGATCACACGCCTACTTTATTTTATTTTTATAATAATCTGTTTATATTCTATATTTTTTTCGATATTTAAATAAATATTCAATATAACGTTTTCAATGTACATTCTGTACCAACATTATTGACAAATTAATTTTCTGTTTCAATAACGTAAAAGTACATTTTTTCCTATTAAATATTCGTGTGACAGTTGTCTTCTAATCGCTTAGTGGAAAAGAGACCTACAGAATAAGATTTAGGGCCTGTCCCACCACTGGCTGATAGAGGCTCAGAATTAAAATGACGTCACTGTCAGGTAAGGGAACAAAATCCGATATTTCCATCACACGTCGGAAATTTATGACAATTTACAATTTGGTGGGACAAGCCCTAATCAGGTATTATGGTTTGTGATGCTAACTCGAATGCATTAAATTCCAGGTTGTCCAAGCGTCTCCGTGGCCAGCGACTGCACAGTTAGCGCAGTTGACTGCAACAGCGCGCTCACCTCCCCCCGATCCAGACGCTCCCTTGAACCTGAGCAAGCAACGTTCGCCGTCACCTGCACAGTCGTCTATCATGCTGCCCCGGTTCGTGCCCTACCCGCCAATGGATGAAAGCCCACAATACACTATGCAGAAGGACGACGATTTCAATGCGTCGTGTAATAGTAAGTCATTTTTATTAAAACTAACTGTTGCTCGCGACTTCGTCCGCGCAATATTAAGATAAAAAAGCCTATAATATGCCCGTTTATGTTAGCTACCCTTCAGTGAAAGTGTGGTCGAAATCGGCCCAGCCGTTTCGGAGATTACCAGGAGCAAACGTGTCTTGCGGACAGATAGACAAACAGACAAAAAATATTAAACACGATTTTCATTATCAGCAACGCAAATACATTATCTCCCCAAAATCTTGAATTTTACTTTTGATATTACAGACAGACACTCTTATTTATTATATGTATATATAGGAGATCTTAATCATATGAATCATGCTTGCATTTACTAAATATACGAACCCATTACATTGTGTTGATCAATTATAAATAGAGTAATTAATGTCTGGCAGATTTTGTCTGAAAACAACGCGATTCATACAATAATATGGAGCCAACAAGCGTCATATGCGCGTAGACGATCTAAAAATATTGGTACGGCTGTCCAATCAATTCTTTTTACATCAATGTTTTTATTAAGTAAATAATCATTTTGGAAATACGGATTAAAAACGTGTATCAATTAGTTACTGACAAATTGATCAATTAAACAGGTTTGCTATCCCAATACTTCTGTATTCTTCTTTCTGTTTAGTTGTAACATATTTTCTCTACTATTTTTTTGATAAGTCAGAATAATTTTTACATTTTTATGTATCCTTTTGCTTATCCGCTACACATTTTTAAACTCAAAACTTATAGTTAACGAGCTATTGCTCGCGACTTTGTCCACGTAACATTTAAACACATAACTAATGTTACTCAGCGATAACGTAGCTTTTTAATGGTGAAAGAATTTTAAAAATCGGCCCAGTATTTCTTGATCTATTTCAATACATACAAAAATACAAATCTTTCCTTTTCATAATATTAATATAGATAAATAAATAAATAATAGATAGATAAATAATCTTTCTTTTAAATACTCTTAAGGGTTGTCGGCTTAAGTTGCAAAACATATCTATTCGTAAATTTCAACTTGCAAAATAACCTTAAAAATATTTTAACTCAATATGAATATTGTTAGTTAAATTTAGCTTTTGTACTGATACTGTTAGTACATTAAATACTCTTTTGTATACTGTTTGTCAAATCAAAGAAATAGTTCCGAGTACCATCAGTTCCACTAAAACGGAATATACTGTAGAATACATGACGCGTTACGTAATTCTCAAGCTAAAATAAACAAGGAATCCCTAATAAATAGATAGTAACGTCTGTGAAATGCGAAAATGAAGTAATGTTCCGTGTCGCCGAGAAACATTTTCCCCGTTCCAATTTAATTGCTAAATATAATTAATACATCGCGAATTCTGTAAAGCAGGCTTATGTTCTGATTAATATGAAGCGATGCTCCACGAACGTACATCACTAATTGAGAGACTTCGACTATTATATTAAAATGACAAGCTTTTGAATATCGGAATTGAAAGAGATTGTTAGATGTACATTTTTATAAAATGGCGTTCACGTAATAAACTGCTTACTCGGCTGGAGTAGGTTAGTAAGTGCAGACACGAAAGAATATTGTTAGTTATTTGGATGAGAACATAAATCCTACAGGCGCTTTAATTTAATTAAAAATTCCTTGCAATTTGGAAGCGCCTAAAAACCATATAAGTATGGTCAGAATATTTAAAACACCGTAGTTGCCTACATTCGCTATTTAAAATTTTATGAACGGATTAAACACGTTTTCGATTGTTATCTTTACCTACCACAATTTGTTACCTACGTATAAAGGTAAGCGGATATGCGTTTATTTAGGTTTATATGCTAACCGTGGCATTTAGAGTATGTCACAATATGTCAAAATATTGTGAGATGGACTACGGCCCACATGTGGGAACATTAATTGCACCTGATAATAATCTAAGTGTCGTTCCATGAAACTGATTTATTTCTATTGCATCACCAAAATGCTTACGATCTTGTTCTTGTTTTGTAATGCGGGATTGCTAGATCGTTTGCTACGAAATATTACTCAACAACAATTTAGTGTATTGTTTTTTTATCCTTTTAATGTGGTTAAAAATGTGCGCGCCGGTCAGTTGTTTGTAATATGTCTTACCTAAGAGTATTGCGGAACTTTTAGGTTCGTAGAATAAATATTTTTTGAAAGAAATGTACTAAAATTAGCACACTTTTTGCTAAAAAAAATATGTGACACGAGGATTTCGTAAGAATGGATTATTGTTGCGCCTATTTTATAATGGTGAGCAAAGAAATTTTGAAGAAATTGCTATTTAGAATACGTAGGAGCCTTTATTTCTTTCTCCATCAAGAGGACTTTCTATGCCTCTCTTACTAGCTTGTACCAAGTTTCCGAAAGAAATATTTCATCATTAGTCTTATTTTTGTTAATTATTATGACATGTAGTAAATATTACACCGTTTCAAAATGACCAATCATGTTAAAATGCGGAAATCTTCGTTATACTTATTACATTTATACTTGTTACATTTACGCCTTGTCAAAAAATATACTAGCCCCTCTCTATATACTTAATGTTGTAAGAGAAATGATTTAAAAATGCCTTCTGCTCGACAGAAATATTAATTTTAAAACATGTTGATTTATCGAACCAAAGCCGACCGCAGGAAGTCGATGTCTTTTACGAGAATTGTCTCAATAATTAAGAATTTATCTGCATTATGATAGGAACGTTGACGCCACGAGGAAAAAACCACTTTACTATTAATATAAAAATCGTCAAATTTAATATAACCGAACAGCGAAACAAATAAATGGCGGCTACTTTAAATAGTTGGCGCAAACCCAAACCGAAATGGTTACAAAATAGTTGATGTCGTTACGCTTCCTTTAAAACAAGAGAATCGCATGAAACGTGAAATAGATGGCGCTCGCGACGCATGTTTCCGCTCTCTTCGCTCATCCTGCAGTACAGGCAGGGACATAAATTAATATCTCATGTCAACGAAAATAATATAATATCCGACTGAACTGTATGCATTCGACTTCTTGGATTGTGCACTATTTGGGACAAAAAACAGCAAATCTAAATTAATTTTATAAGAGTTAATATTGTATAAATAAGTGGTGATTTAATTGTGTTTTCAGCATAAATTAATTTGGCTCCATACTTTAGATTTATTAGTCATGAAGTTGCAAAGTCCATCTTGGTTGCGTTCATCTTTGAGACCTTGCATTGCTTTAATGTTACATTACTTTATGATTATTCTACGCGACTGTCCAAGGTTCGTTCAGAAACGTCACATCGCGCCAATCAACGTAGGACGTTATAAATTATCTAAGAGCGTGTCAAATTAATACAAGGAATGCGTTCACTTCGAGTGCAGGATGTTTCCGTGCAGCAGAGCTTATTAATTGTGTGGCCACTCGCTTGCGAATCCGTCAAGCGAAATGTTAAGATGATCTGTCGACTGACCCATATACGAATGCGGGGGTGCGTTCGACAGTGCACTAATTACGTACGACGTTAACGGAATTCACCTCTTGTTACTAATGTGCGAAATAGGTATTCTAACTCGTAAAATAAGATAGATAGGTTTTTTTGATAACAATTAGATACTTCAAGTATCGCAGTTATTTGTTTAAATACTAACATAGTGTAAATTTTCCCAGTAACTCATAGTTTTAGCACTACTAGCGCCCTGGGCGAGATTTTAACGCCTTTTGAAGCTTTTGGTGTAGAGATGTTAAGTGAGACTGTGTAATTCGCGCTCCTTTCTGTCCATCGCCCTGGGCGGCCGCACAACCACGCCCTATCTCATTGCCGGCACTATTTCTACGTTTTCTAACATGTATATTATACCTAAATCGTTAAACAATTAATATACCGTTTGAATGCTACAAACAAGATGAAATTCTAATCTTCATTTAACGATTGTTTTACGGCGAGCACTCACTGTCGACTATTATTTATTGTTCGGCTCAAGAGAGCTTCCGAACCAATCCTGTATCGAATAAAGTTATATTAAATTGTTATACATTTACGGGATTTTTATCTTCATTTTAAATCCGAGATCGTATAAGTCTTAATTGGGAACAAATTTTAATGGTGACATTGTACTCTCGTTTAGGACAAGTATAAAGAAACAAAACAACAACTTGTAAGTTTTTTTGTCTTGCTGTCTCAATTAAGTGACCGCTAAGACCCTTATAGCAGAAACCCTAAGTGACTTGTGAAGCAACCTTTCGATTACTTTAAATCTGGCTATTACATTTAATCAGGTTAATTAAGAATAACATACTATAGTAGATATATTTCCGACGTTCAGGGCCTGACCCACCACTGGCTGATAGAGGATCAGATAGCTTAAAAATGACGTCACTGTCAGATAAGGGAACAAAATCCGATATTTCCATCACATATTTTACACGTTCGATTGTTATCAGACAATTTGGTAGGACTTACACTAATTGTTATTAATAACATATCTTTATTATTACAGCGTCATCGTGGGGCCAGTCGCCACAAGAGGAAACGGAGAAAGCAAAGCTGATCAGACAACCGAAACGAGACGAGTCCGGAAAACCGCACATCAAGAGACCTATGAATGCGTTTATGGTGTGGGCCAAAGACGAGCGTCGTAAGATACTGAAAGCCTGCCCCGATATGCACAACTCCAACATATCCAAGATACTAGGAGCCAGATGGAAGGCGATGTCCAACGCTGAGAAGCAGCCATATTACGAAGAACAATCTAGATTGTCTAAATTGCACATGGAAAAGCATCCTGATTACAGGTAAATTAAATGGTTTAATTAAGTTGCTTTACTAATATTATTTAAGTTACGAAAGTTTAGATGGATGGATGTTAGTGTTTATAGCTTAAACTTCTGAACGGATCTGTGAACGTGAAATTTGGCGTAGATGTGAAGGATAGTCTGGAAGAACACAAATTCTACTTAGTTTTTTAGAATTTTGGGCAAAAGCTATCAAGATTCACTTCAAAAATCAGCAAACATGTTTTCTTTTCAAATTAAAAAAAATAGATATAGATGAAAATCTTCTTATAACAACTCCTTCTTTTTTCTCCTAGGTACCGGCCAAGACCGAAGAGGACTTGTATAGTCGACGGCAAAAAGATGCGAATATCAGAATACAAGAACCTGATGCGCACGCGCCGGCAGGAGATGCGCCAGCTTTGGTGCCGGGATGGCGGCAGCGAGCTCGGCTTCTTGCCCACTCTCCCCTCACCTGGACCTTCCAACACTTCCCCACCTCCCAATGGTGGGAACTACATGAACCCCGCGTTTTCTCCTCCGCTATCGCCGAGGGAGGAAGATTGAGGTACGGCGCGCGGCTGGCCTTACCCGCACGCCGCGCCCCTCCCGCTGCCTCCCTCCCACCACCCCTGGTAACGTGAGAACCGAGCGAAGTCTCACTGGAATCTCACTGATCATTTCGTTCTAGTTCTCCCCTCACTTTTTAAATATAATTAGATCGAAAGTGATCATTGTAACTGTGCTAGAATTATCTATTTAAGTACCTTCTTTAGGTATCACCAGTATAGGTTGTCTTTAATGCCAGTGTTGCAATCGGATCTCTCTTTTATACAAATATCTAATAATTATGAGATTATTCCATTAGTGGTTTAAGAAAATCCTAGGGGCACTTTATCCTTGTAATCGTTTTTAAATATTTATTATCTGCGCTCGTCTATTCTTTGAATCAAGTGCACTAAAATAAAACGTAATGTGCCAATCACGTAGGTAATAAACCATCTATTAGAAAATTAGATAAACATTGTAAATATATATATATTAAGTCAGTCGTTTTATCGAAATATGTATAATAAGTCTGTATCTGACGGCTTTGTCTTTGTAAATAAGCACGATTCTTGTAGATAGTTTTAGGTATTTCAATATTTTACATTCAAATTACATTTACATAATAAATTATATATAAGAAGGTAGTATCTCGACATAACGTACTATCGTGTGGCCATGTATAAATTTTAATTAAACCCTAATCTACCTATATGTAATATTTAGAATCTCTAGTAATGTAATACTAAAATGTAGCAAACCAAAAATTTGAAGCGGAATGCTTGAAAATTTATGTGTTTAGAACACAAACTGATTTACTGTATTCAAGAGCGTTACATACAATTAAATACTCAGGCTTCTCTAAAAGATTCTAAGAGCGGGCGCACACCTTGGACTAAACTATCGCACAACTGGTGTGCGACTGTCGATTGTTTCGCAGTGAATTCAACTGTTTAGTTGCAAAACAAAAAATCGAGTAGAGTGCGACTAAACAGTTGTGCGATTGTTTAGTTTGAGGTATGCGCAAGCTCTAATTGTGCCCTTAATCGGAATGTATTTTAATCAATTACGATAAAATTAGCACGAAATTATGTAATCTGTAATCATAAAAATGCAGTGTTGCCAGCTGGCAGTCAATCTGACAGTTGTTAATTTGATTAAAAAGATCAAATTACCATTGATTTTTAAAAAAACCCACCGTAAATGTGGGTTATCTATACACTATCAAAATCAAATATTCGCTTTATCGAATCGTGCAATTTAAATTAGTAGAAATAGTCGCTAAGCTATAGTAGAACAAGCATAATAAAGTAGGTACATAATAGTAGATTGGTAGAAAAAAGTGTACAGATTATGTAGAATGGGACGCGTTTGATCGATGTTGATTGCCATTTAGTTTTGTTATTTATTTTTGTAATTATATTTCTTTTTTGTTTTCTTTTGTGATGGTGAACACGCCTGTTCGTTTATGAGAATTGTTTTTACTGCATGTTATAAAGCCGATTTTAGTGCCTGATACTTTGTATATGGCAACATTTTTGTAAATCAAACGTACAGAATGACCAAGTTATCTTTGACAGGAGTGGCGCCACTGTCGGTGAAACGCTCCGCTGATTGGATGACACGATAGATTCCATGACATTTAAGCGCCATTTCCACTTAAGATATTCGCGAGATTTTAGGCGCATGCGCACATTCTATGTATAATAGCGATCGCGTCAGTGAAAAGTAAATGGGTAAATTGGTCAGTCTGTAAAGGTGTAGTTTTGTTGAGTATGGTGTGGTCACCTTGTTATCGTATGCCAGTAATATATCAGATGTGAGGAATAATGTTAGAATTGTAAGCGTAAATAAATTATTGTGTACGTGAAATTTAATCTCTTATTACGTAGCGTTTAGTATTACATAGTTAATGTGTAAGGTTTTAAAACAGTGGCGTTACATTATTTATTTTTTATGTTGAATCCATTTGTAAATATGTGACATGTCGATGAAAACGTTAGTATTTGTGGTTATTTAAACGATACTTAATCCGTATGCGAATCGCACAGATCTCGTTTCGAAAACAATGTTATTTATTTAGCCGTCATAGTAACGGGACATTTTATAATCTGTAAAAGTACCTTACACCTTGCCATATATTTACATTTTGTAAATGCGAATTGCCTACTTAAATTAATCTATACACAGTACTTTTTTCTTGTACTTAAAATTATATCTTGTTAGTTTATTGGTTTCAACTTACGCTTTTTAACGATTTAAAATTATTTTGTTGAATTTTCCCGTATAGCTCTGCGAGCAAGTAGATGAATTTTAGGTTTTATTACCTAGCAGGTATAAACCAGGTCACATTATTCAAAAATTGTGCCAAAACTCAAAAGTTTAATAAAAAGTAAATATTTAAAATGCCTGTTTTTCATTTTTCATCCTAATAACCACTTAAATTCCTACGAAAAGAACTGCATTTCCCATAAAGTCTGGGAAAGACGTGTACCACAGATTCCTTGGTCCAAAATATGACGATTTGACTCAACTTACCTATGTTCAAAGTTACTTTGTTAGGGCGCTAAAAGGTTCTAAAGTTTGCTAATAATTTTACATGTCTTCAAATATCTCGAAATTCCTAATATTTTATTAATACTGAAACCGTGGTTTTTGTTCTCCACTTTTTTTTGAACATGCCTTAGCCATCTAATCATTCAGGGGCTCGAAATCAGCCATTAAAACGATTTTAATCACATTTTTGCAACCGCCCGTATAATCACTTAAGTTTTTTTTTTAAATAGAAAATGTTATTTAAAAAATTTTTGGGTCTATGTTCAAATTTTAAGTAGGCGAACGGTTTTACCACAAACCAGTATTTTCTAATCTATATCTAAAATCGAATCAAACGGCCATATTTTCGACCAAGGAATCTGAAGTAGGCGATTGTAGACATCTTCCCGGAGATCTGTATAACTGGAAGCTTCTGGCTACTGCGACTGCAATCTATCGGTAGTCGCGCTGTCGAGCTAGTGGAAAAGGAAGTTTCATTCAGGTAATAATAAGACATATTAAAAGTATCATATTTTCATTACATTAATATGATTAGTAACAATAATTACGATATATCATTACAAAGTGATATGGCTACATTTGTTCATTATTTATAAAAATATAACTAATTTGTACAAATTGGTAAAATCAACAAACAATTTTTCTAAGTACGCAAAATGAAATACATTTGAAGCATATTTAAAAGCTAGATTAAATAGAGGCAGGATTACAAGACACAATAACAAAAGAATGAAGGCACATTGAAAGAAACAATTGTATTAAAATTTGTAGTTAATAAATTAAAACTTATCACTATAAAACAAATAGCTAATTACCAACAAATCTTATTCACTGTAAACTTTTAACAGTAACGGCCGAATTCAGAAACGATTTGTGGCGTTTCCTGTTGGAGAAGTCATTCGAATAGCGCAGTATAGTAAGATTGTCAGATCTTTATAGAGTTAGTTGAAGCGCGGATCTAGAGTAGGGTGGGGCAAAAATCCGCAATGGGAAATGATCCGCACCCCCAATTTAAAATGACCGCCAAATATTGTCGTGGTTTTAGACACATTCTTATGTTGGCAACATTCATAGCAGACGACTCACAAAAGTTTTTGTATTTACGTTATAGGAACTACAAACGCAAAACTAATGTGAAGCCGTTCAGACCATAACTGTACTTGCAGGCCCCAGAAATGTTAAAAAAGAAAAATTGGGGCGGAGTTAGGATTCGATGAATCATCTGTACGGAAGTGATAGGAATTACTAACCACTTAATAGGTAACTAGATCTTTTATTCTGAATGCCGATTTGATTTCTTACAGGTTGAAAAACGTAGGCGGCGCCCAAAAACTGGGCGGTTCACAACAACATACACTAATTTGCAGGAAAAGGATATTGTAGAATACTGCCGAACCTTGATTCATATGTGTTGTAATTGGGTAAATATAATCTATGGTATAATGAAGTTAATGAAAAATAGTGTTCATGTCCTCGAGGCGATTTTTTATTTTGTCCCTATTTCTCAATAATTCTCAACATAGTAGCAGTGCGTGGTTAGATAGTTAAAAGAGAAAAAAAGAAATAGAAAAATACAAAGCCAAAGGTAAACAATATAAAGTACAACGAATATATAAAAACGTGCTCGTGACGTTTGAGGTTATGCAGAGTGACGCTACGAAATAGAAGTAAATTATTACTAATAAAACAAGACTATCGTCGAAATGGCAAAGCAAGCAAAGGTAGAAGATATTATGATACCGATATTTGATGGGACAAATTATTCAAACTATAAATTAAGGCTGACAACTTTGTTACAATATAAAGAATGCCACGAGGCCTTAAAATACGAAGACAAAAAAGAAACGGGATCAAAGAAAGACTTAAAAGCGAGGACTATTATAATGAGTACAATCACAAACAACTGGAATTATTGAGCCGATTCGATTAATGAGCCGAGGTACCGGAAGTCGGAGCAAACTGGGAGATAAGCGCCATCTAAGGCAATCGGGATAAAACTGGATAAGCCCCCGAAGTCGCAGAATTTTTTTTTATTTACTTATTTTTTGTATGTAACCAGTAGTTTTATGGTGGAAAAAAATACTTTTTCACATTTATTGATGATTATAGTAAATGCACTAGGATATTTTGTATAAAAAAGTAAAACTGAAGTTGGTAATTGTTTTATGGAAGTTGTAAATTTAGTAGAAAATAAATTTGACAAAAGGGTTAAAAAAATCAGTGAGATAATGGTAAAGAATACATGAATAAGGATATTTACAATTTTATTAGGCAAAAAGGTATAGAGTTATTATCATGTCCACCTTACGTCCATGAATTAAATGGAGTAGCGGAAAGATATACTAGATCCGCTATGGATACAAAGAAGCAAAAATTCACAGAAGGTATTGGTCTGAAATTATAGACAAAGAAAACAATTGCAAATAGTAGAAAATAAAACTCCTTATGAGATATTTTTTTAAATAAAACCAAATGTCTCAAAGCCAAAGTAAATATATTGAATCTTTGGCTGCAAAATATGATCTAAAAAATACTAAGTTGTATGATACTCCAATGGAGGCAAATTTAAAATTAGAAATTTACTAAGTGAATCTTTTGATATAAAGTTTTGTAATCCTATAAAATTATATGGAGATAACTCAGGTGCAATAGCAATCGCTAAGCATGGTAATTTTACAAAAAATTCAAAGCACATAGAAGTGCAATATCATTATAATGAGAACTATGATATATAACTATATATATCTCATAAATGAGAACTATGAAAAGAAAATTATTGATATTGTAAAAATTGATACAAAATTTAACTTGGCAGATATGCTAACCAAAAAGTCTAGATAAAACAAAGTTTATAAAAAACAGCTTGGAAATAAGATTAATTTAGTTATGTGAAAGTTTTTAGTTTCAAGATTATATAATTACCAGATAAAGATTGTATAGAAAAGTCATAGATTTAAGGAATATTTAGAGGACTGATTTAGTTACATAAAAGGTTTTAGATTAAGCTATATATATAAAGATTGTAAGTTAAAGGTTATACATTTAAAGAGACTTGTAATAAAATAAATTATAAGATTATAAATTTAAGGAGGCGTGTTGTAATTGGGTAAATTTATAATCTATGGTATAATTAAGTTTTTGTTTTTTAACCTACATTCGTTCATTTCTAACTGTCATTCTGCCAAGTGAAAAATATAGTGCTCATGTAGGCGATTTTCTATTTTGTCCGTATTTCTCAATAATTCTCAACAATATGTTTTATGGTGTTTCCTTTAAAACGCCCCAAATTCTTATATTCAATTATGCCATCGTACCGTCAATGGTGAAAGCTGAAAAATTATGGAAATGGCCCGACCGTCCTGACATTCTCGATTATGAATGGGGATCATTCGTTTCTAGAATAAAGGAGCCAAAAAAGAAACAGCACAACCCGAAATGTTTATTCAGTCAGTGAACTGGAATGGTTTAGAATGGTTGAGGAAAGGAAGCAGACAGAGTTAGCGGCAGT